GGCGGCGCCCCCCCCCGCCGCACCGTACGGCCAGAGTCACGTGTTCCTCTGTCAACTCTGCGGCTCGCGTTTCCCGTCGGCGGAGATCAGAGACAAACACCACCTGTGGCACGCCATGAGGGACGAGCTTTTGGCGGGAAGCGTGTTCAGCGTGCACAGGGAAAAGAGCGGCAGCGAGAGCGAGCATCATCAGCATCAGCAGCATCAGCATCAGCAGCAGCAGCAGCAGCAGATCTTCTCCTGTAAACTCTGCTCCTCCACCTTCTTCAGCTCCCCGGGGCTCAGCCGACACATCAACAAGTTCCACCCCCCGGAGAACAGACAACTGACGCTGCTGCACATGACCGTGCGGCCGTAAACTGAGCGGCCACGGGGTCAGTTCATCAATGACGTCAGAAACCCGTGTTTACGTCACTTCTCAGTCCATCGATACAGTAACTGTCCGTGGTGCTGAAGCCCAGTGACTCCACGTCCACACCTGTAGTGACGTCACATCCGCTCTAGTTCTAGTTCAGTTTGGCCGAGAGCCTGGCTCAACGATGACGTCACATGACCGCAGCGTTATTTGTGTCACTCACTGTACAAGTAAAAAGAATGAAACTAAAGCAAAGCAACATGACTGTAACCACATGGAGCCACTCATCTACAGCAGGGGTTTCAACCACCGGGTCGGGGGCCAGCAGTGGGCCGAGTGGTCCCGAGATGATTAAGAATCAGTGTATGTTTAACGAACACGATTATATTTACATGATGTATCGAGTACATTACCCATGATGCACCTTACTGTGGTTCATTATGTGCCCCCCCCCCCCCCCCCCCCCGTCTGTGGTAAACTTACTCTTTTTACAGATGTGTGTACATTTATGGGCCAGTACATGTTGTCTGTGTTTTCTGTGGACTGTACAAATACTGTGGACAGTACAAATACTGTAGACTGTACAAATACGGTAGACTGTACAAATACGGTAGACTGTACAAATACGGTAGACTGTACAAATACGGTAGACTGTACAAATACTTCATCTGTGACTGTGAACAGGACAATATACCTTGGTTCAAACGTTGGACTTTAATGTCAAACTGTCAATAAATCACCCAGCAGCACAGACCCTGACACAGACACTGACACTGTGGACTGTACTAATATTGTGGACTGTACAAATACTGTGGACAGTACTAATACTGTGGACAGTACAAATACTGTGGACTGTACTAATACTGCGGACTGTACAAATACTGCAGACTGTACAAATACTGTGGACAGTACTAATACTGTAGACTGTACAAATACTTCATCTGTGACTGTGAACAGGACAATATACCTTGGTTCAAACGTTGGACTTTAATGTCAAACTGTCAAAAAATCATCCAGCAGCACAGCCCCTGACCCAGACACAGACACTGACACTGTGGACTGTACTAATATTGTGGACTGTACAAATACTGTGGACAGTACAAATACTGTAGACTGTACAAATACGGTAGACTGTACAAATACGGTAGACTGTACAAATACTTCATCTGTGACTGTGAGCAGGAGAATAAACCTTGGTTCATGCGTTGGACTTTAATGTCAAACTGTCAAAAAATCATCCAGCAGCACAGACACTGACACAGACACTCACACAGACACAGACACTGACACTGACACAGACACTGACACTGTGGACTGTACTAATATTGTGGACTGTACAAATACTGCAGACTGTACAAATACTGTAGACTGTACAAATACTTTAGACTGTACAAATACTTTAGACTGTACAAATACTTTAGACTGTACAAATACTGTAGACTGTACAAATCCTGTGGACTGTACAAATACTGTGGACTGTACTAATACTGCGGACTGTACAAATACTGTAGACTGTACAAATACTTCATCTGTGACTGTGAGCAGGAGAATAAACCTTGGTTCATACGTTGGACTTTAATGTCAAACTGTCAATAAATCATCCAGCAGCACAGACAACGACACACAGAGAGACACTGACACAGACACAGACAGACACTGACACTGACACAGACACTGACACTGTGGACTGTACTAATACTGTAGACTGTACAAATACTGTAGACTGTACTAATACTTTAGACTGTACAAATACTTTAGACTGTACAAATACTTCATCTGTGACTGTGAGCAGGAGAATAAACCTTGGTTCATACGTTGGACTTTAATGTCAAACTGTCAATAAATCACCCAGCAGCACAGACCCTGACACAGACACAGACCCTGACACAGACACAGACCCTGACACAGACACTGACACTGACACAGACACAGACAGACACAGACACAGACACTGACACAGACACAGACCCTGACACAGACACAGACACGGACACAGACACTGACACTGACACAGACACAGACCCTGACACAGACACAGACAGACACAGACACAGACACACACACAGACACAGACACAGACACAGACACGGACACAGACACTGACACTGACACAGACACTCACACAGACACAGACACTGACACTGTGGACTGTACTAATATTGTGGACTGTACAAATACTGTGGACAGTACAAATACTGTGGACAGTACTAATACTGTGGACAGTACAAATACTGTGGACAGTACAAATACTGTGGACAGTACTAATACTGTGGACTGTCCTAATACTGTGGACTGTCCTAATACTGTAGACTGTACTAATACTGTGGACTGTCCTAATACTGTGGACTGTCCTAATACTGTAGACTGTACAAATACTTTAGACTGTACAAATACTTTAGACTGTACAAATACTTCATCTGTGACTGTGAGCAGGAGAATAAACCTTGGTTCATGCGTTGGACTTTAATGTCAAACTGTCAATAAATCACCCAGCAGCACAGACCCTGACACAGACACAGACACACACACAGACACAGACACTGACACTGTGGACTGTACTAATACTGTAGCCTGTACTAATACTGTAGACTGTACAAATACGGTAGACTGTACAAATACTTCATCTGTGACTGTGAGCAGGAGAATAAACCTTGGTTCATGCGTTGGACTTTAATGTCAAACTGTCAATAAATCACCCAGCAGCACAGACCCTGACACAGACACAGACCCTGACACAGACACAGACAGACACAGACACAGACACAGACACGGACACAGACACTGACACTGTGGACTGTACTAATAATGTAGACTGTACTAATACTTTAGACTGTACAAATACTTTAGACTGTACAAATACTTCATCTGTGACTGTGAACAGGACAATATACCTTGGTTCAAACGTTGGACTTTAATGTCAAACTGTCAATAAATCACCCAGCAGCACAGACCCTGACACAGACACTGACACTGTGGACTGTACTAATATTGTGGACTGTACAAATACTGTAGACTGTACAAATACGGTAGACTGTACAAATACGGTAGACTGTACAAATACGGTAGACTGTACAAATACTTTAGACTGTACAAATACTTTAGACTGTACAAATACTTTAGACTGTACAAATACTGCAGACTGTACTAATACTGTAGACTGTACAAATACTTCATCTGTGACTGTGAGCAGGAGAATAAACCTTGGTTCATACGTTGGACTTTAATGTCAAACTGTCAATAAATCATCCAGCAGCACAGACACTGACACAGACACAGACACTGACACAGACACTGACACAGACAGACACAGACACAGACACAGACACTGACACAGACACTGACACTGACACAGACACAGTGGAGGTTAGTGGACACAGACACAGACACAGACACTGACACAGACACTGACACAGACACAGTGGAGGTCAGTGGTAGAACTCATTTATTGATTTATGGAGTACTACTACAGTTTTGACAGTAACATTACTTTGAGGGGTGTGTATACGCAAGCGTGCATGTGTGTGTGTGTGTGTGTGTGTGTGTGTGTGTCATGCAGTAAAGTCAGTAGTTACACAACCAGCCTGGTCAACAGAAGCCGTATCCATGACGACGGTCCGGCTCCTCCAGGCCAGGGTTAAATACGGTGGAGGACGACCACCGCGTCACGCGGCTCGGCCGGTTTGAGGTCGGTGTTCAGTAACGGGGTCAGAGGTCAGAGGTCAAAAAGAAAAGATTTTCTGTTGGATTTAAATGTCATGAATTCCAGACTTTTCTGACAGTCTTTGAACGCAGCACGGTTGTAGTTTCAGGTTCACCTCAGGGACAGAGGGACAGAGACTCAAAGACTCAGAGACTCAGAGACAGAGACTCAAAGACTCAGAGACAGAGAGACTCAGAGACACAGAGAGACTCAGAGACAGAGACAGAGACTCAGAGACAAAGACTCAAAGACTCAAAGACTCAGAGACAGAGAGACTCAGAGACACAGAGAGACTCAGAGACAGAGACAGAGACTCAGAGACAAAGACTCAAAGACTCAAAGACTCAGAGACAGAGAGACTCAGAGACACAGAGAGACTCAGAGACAGAGACAGAGACTCAGAGACAAAGACTCAAAGACTCAAAGACTCAGAGACAGAGAGACACAGAGACTCAGAGAATCAACCTGATGGATGAACTTCCTGTCCAACAACACTGCAGGTTCAACACCTCAGTACTGACAGGCTGTGAGGCAGCACGGTGGGACAGTGGTGGGCTCCAGCCCCCCCCCCCCCCCCCCCCAACACTGACACTTCAGCTGCACCAATGATTAATAAAGCCATATTTAAAAAGTCTTTCTAACCTCGACTCATGTACAAGTTTACAAACAA